CATGTTTGTCTTTTAACTTCAAGTTTTTTGCAATTCTAGGTGAATATAATTCACTTATTTCATCTCAAAATTGTCAACAAATTTCAATTTTGATATTTATTTAGCGAGAAATTTGAAAGTTTGAAAATTAATTTAGATGTTCATTATACGTGACGAAAACAGTGATTTGTTTTTTAAATTCAAGTTTCTTCTATTCTAGGTGAGGTATAGTTTAATGGTTTCGTCTCAAAATAAATCAATAATATCCACCTTTGGATATATATTTGATGAATTTGAAATTTTGAAAATTAATTTATTCGTTAGTTGAATTTTGTGACAAAAACAATTATCTAAATATGCCTTTTAAATGATCTAGTGTTTGCTATTCTAGGTGAGATATATTTCAATGATTTCATTTCAAAGTTGTCTACACTATCCATGTTTGGATAAATATTCTGGTATGGAATTTCAAATTTTTTACACAGCGAAAGCAACGGTTTTATAGGTTGTTGTAGTCACATCCTTTATTAGTACACATTTATATACAATAAACTTTACATTCAAGAGATAATTAGTGCTTTTACTAATTCCTTTTGTATAAATTTCTTGAACCCCATTTGCAGCTGGGAATGATTTTGAATGAATCTCTAAGACTGTACCCACCAGCAGTGGCAATAATTAGACGGTCCAAGATCGATATACAATTAGGCGGGCTCCACATCCCGTCCGGGACCGAGCTTCTCATACCGATCCTAGCCGTTCATCACGACCCAGCATTGTGGTGCCACGATGTACATGAGTTCAACCCTGCTAGATTTGCCAAAGGCGTAGTCCATGCAGCCAAACATCCCTTGGCATTTATGCCGTTCGGCCTAGGCCCCCGCCGCTGCATCGGCCAAAATTTGGCCATTTTGCAAGCCAAATTAGCCATTTCCATGTTACTACAACGCTTCTCATTTGAGCTTGCACCACATTATAAACATGCCCCTAGTGTTCTAATGTTGCTACATCCCCAAGATGGTGCACCAATTATATTCCGAAAATTGTAGGACTATATGGGATGTAGTAACCTTTAGGACCAAATGTTGTCATATGTTAGGACACTAGTACTAGCATGCTAACCCTCCACCAATGCCTAACCCAATAGAATTTTTCTCGGGATGGTGTTGTTTTCAATTTTCTTATAAGATGTTAGTCCGTTCTGTCGCATTCTATCTAACTTGACTTTTTGTCAGAGGCATCAACCTATTTTACCAAGTTTAGCTTGGATTTTTAAGTCTCTTTCTAATCAGTCGTGGTGAAAGAAATTTCTTCTTCCCCCTCAGCCTTTTGTCTTTGTACTATGTAAATTCTTGATCAATGGATGTACATTATGGTTGTGGCATTATTAGCATGAAAAAAAGTTGTCTTTGTGTACTCTTGAATTTCTTTGGTCCTCTATTGTTTTCCCTCACCCATATCGAAACATATAACTATGGAATAGTTATTTTGATCCAATCAATGGCTACTCAAAAGTTTCACAACATAGGTTGACAACCTCCGATATGTTTTGGAGGTCACACCCACTAAAGGAGCCACTAAACTTTTTCGGCCTCCATGCCATAATTGATGAGAGCCAAAAGTCCAAATTACTATTACAAAGATATCTTTTACCACCGCCTATAACCAATGTTTTCTAAGTTGATTGCCTTTACTTCCTCCTTGATTCTTATTAAAACTTATTTGCAATCTTTGTAAATCTTTCATCAATCATTATTCAACCACTAATCATTACCTATTTCCTTTAATCAAAATTGACACATTTAAAAGCCTTCTCCACATTTTCCTTTCAATTTTGATTTGTGTGTGAAGATATGGCCGGTTGATGTTGATAAATGACTAGATGGTTTCACATCAAGAAACTATAATGAGAATTCTTGTGTAAATACAAGTGGATTAGTGTGTTCGACCATAAAAATATTGATGGGACAACCAATAACCAATTGATTCCGACTGTCAATTTAATTGTACTTGTGAATTGGCTTTCACCGAAAGTGATCAAGAATGGAATCAAAGTAGTTTTTACATTTCATCCTTGACTTCCCTTGGAGGAATGGCTTGAGGAATTATAGAGTGGAAAAAAACGCATGTCTTTCGTCAATCAGTTTTCATGTCAAGTGACATTTGACTTTGAAGGCTAGCATCACATTGAGCTGGAATGTGTCAACTTAATTGTCATTTCGATTAGTTCAAGTGTAAGAAGTACTGTTGGATTTTTTGTCATTTTAAACCTAGCTTGAACTCGTTTTGCGAGTTGCTCTCAGTTGATCATTATGTAGGATTGACAATGGGGTTCGGCTCATCTTACACACCCTGCGCTCATCTAGGGCTAACAAGCGAGTTGAACACGAGCAAGCTTGCCAGCCAGTTTTTGGGTTCGGCTTACTTGAGCACAAACAAGCTTGTTCACTCGACTAGCCCGTGAGCCTCTTAAATTATTTTTTTCTTGAAAAGGTGAATTTTTATTTTCTATTTATGCAGTTTCAAAATTGTGAAAGTCTAGATAGTTAAAATAATAGATTGGAGTATTTGAAATATTCAGTCTGAAAGAATTAAGGATCGAAAGAAATAATTGCAAAAAATAGAATTACATTGGTGGTATACATTGAAAGAATGTAGAGTAAAAACGTATAGAAGTTTGAAGAAATAATTTGTCAATTGGCTCATGAACCATTGCCATCACGATCATTGTGTATAATGACATTTTCTAATAGGAATAAGTTTCTCTTTGAAATTAGTCAACCATTGTAACTTTACCTAGAAAAAGATCGTTTGTTATTTGTCTTATCTCTATCTAGTCTCTCTTATTCTAGTCTATCCATCTTAAGGTATTTTGCTTAGTATTTTTTCTCACTTTCTTTGATCATATCCTTCACACAACTCATACATGTGTGAGCCTAGCGTTTCGTGTGGCATAATATTATCTAACATCATTCGTACTACAATATTACTCTAGGTAACGTTAGTGATAAACTTAATGAAATATAGAATTAAGTTATTCATTTAATTATATATCTCATTTAATATTCCATTAGTACCACGTATACTAATACTTTAATATCATTAAAAAAATCCATAAATTATATATGTAAATCGGTTTAATTAGTGGAGACAAATTAAATTTTAATTAACCATAAGCTTTTGATGACATTCACTACAAAAAAAATGCATCCAACGAACAAAAAAATGGTAGCTAAAGGTTAATTTCTAGTAGCTAAAACCTTTAGCGATCAAATAATTGTGGTTGTTGATTGATATCTAATTCCCGTCGGTGAAAGTCCAATACAGCATGGAGTCTTTTACATAACACTAACCGATAGCAACCAATTGAATGTGTGGTCCATCATACTTTGCATCAGTAACCAAGTAAGAATTAAGGAAAAATACACATTTATGGGCAAACCTCTTTACCAAACCACTTTTTGGTCTGTTGTCCTACAGCAATCACGTTTGATTGATCGCTAAAATTTTGATCGGTGGAGTCCAAATTTTTTGTAGTGATTAGTGAAAATGACAGAAAGATTACAATCAATTGAAAGGAATTTCAAAGTTATTTCAACTTTACAATTGTTTTTGGTTCGATAATGGAGATAGATAGATTCATTACATCCTCCCAGAGTTTATAGAGACCCGACCCTAATGAAACTAGGGTCAAAGATGCATGTGCCTTGTATTATTTTCATAATCATGCATGTATCACAGATATACCCAAAAAGATTTTAAGATTTTTTTTCTCTTAAATTTATAAAAATTTTATGATCAAATTAAAGGTCATACTTATGCCATATAATATATAATATAGTAAAATTATTACACTAAAATATTTGCAATTTATTAGTCTTGCAACGTAGCTTGCTTATCTGCCCCTTTTTCATGGAATGTGTATCCACCTTTGATAACTTTCGGTGACTTAACCTCTCCCCACCCTCCTCCCTATCAATCGAAACCCTAATGTCACGTATAAATCAATGAAAAGAGATTGATCATGAATTACCAATAACTTCATAATTGATTCTTTTTAGATCGATGCTCAAGCTATTATTGGTGATAGATGCACCACAATAGAGTTTGCTTTTTACAGCTTGCACTGTAAATTGTAAAAAACTAGTTATGGCATATATGCGAACTCTAAATGTATGTCGTAAATACTTCAACTAATTGGATTATTCAGCATGCATTTACGGCATGTTGTAAAAAAAAAAAAAAAAAGACTTTTACTGCGTGCCTTAAATGCATGTCGTAAAGAAATGTTGTAAAAAGTTAATTTTGTTGTAGTGATGGCTACGCATTAGTGCTATGTAGTGTCACGGATACTTAGCACTAGTCTAGGTAGCGTGAATCTTAATGATTCATTGAGGTCATCTAACGACTAAAAGGGTGCTAAGTGCTACATAGCATTATTATTTAAGTTAATTATAAGAATCAGTATTTTTTTTTCGAAAGTAATTAATACACCTATAAGTATCCTATATGTATGGCATATGTATAGACACAAAATACAGTGTGCCAGGTTTATGTATCTCATAATTAAGAGGCTTTCAGGTTGGCCAAGATGTTGTTTCTGGACACATGACCTGATCAGAGTACTGATCACAACTATATTAATGTGTCATAAATAAAACTCAAGTGGACTCTACAAGAATGGGAAAACTCAATAGAACAATTTTTTTTATTTTCAGGGTGAGATTGGTAGGTGCACAAGGGTAGATATTATCTTAATTTTTTGACAGTTCGACACATCAATTGTTACCAGATAAGAAAATGTCTTTTGAAAGGTGATGTCAATTATTGCATAATGTTTTAGCGTCCTATTTGCTAAGAAGTGTCGAGATGCCAAAATATTGGTTGGAGACGGCCAAGTTGGAAGAACAGAATTCTTCGATGAGGTGGGTGGGTGGTGGAATTGGTCTGCAGTAAGGGATAATATTGTCTATAAATATATTAATTAGGACATCCTCACCCACTAGTTGACCTTAAAATTCATAAGGTAGCTTCTTTCCCTCTGCCTGTTAAGCCCATCTTCGTCCTATGCTTCTACATAAACGACAACAAACTCCTGCTTTTCTCTGTGTATAAAGATAAATACAAGTAAGAGCTAAGAAGAAGACACCCACCACTACTCCACTCCCACCCTCACAATCTCTGCAAATCAAGCATGGAAGATTGGTTCCAATGGTTATGGTTTCTTTCGGTTTCATATGTCGGGCTAGTTTTCGTCATGAAAGTTTTTTTTCATCTCTGGTGGATACCGAGGAAGATCGAAAATCACTTCATGAAGCAAGGAATTAAGGGACCTAAGTATCAGCTTTTTTTAGGCAACTTAAAAGAACTTGCTAGCTTAAATTTGAAGGCTTCTGCCCAACCAATGCTTCTATCCCACAACATACTCCCGAGAGTTCTCTCCTTCTATCATCATTGGAAGAAAATTTATGGTATGAATTGAGAAATTTTGATTTTTTTTCCTTCATTTTTTTTATGCACTAAAAGTTTTAAAACTGTTGTATGAATCCTAACTTTCTCCCTCACCACATTTATGCTACTTTTTGTGTGTGTTTATGTGAATGTTTTTCTTGTAGGGTCTACACTATCCATTGTCGTTGAATAATATGGTTAAATTCAGCTTTTTCTACTTCCCCTTTTAATTTCTAAACACCATGTTTAATCTTTAATTTAATCAACATAATTAAACCCTAATACTTTCCCATGCTCTTTGTCATAAAAAATGTATGCAAAATTGATTGCAGGTGCAACGTTTTTAGTATGGTTCGGACCGACACCTCGTCTCACCGTGTCTGATCCAGCACTTATTCGGGAAATTTTCGTCTTGAAATCGGATTATTTCGAGAAAAATGAATCCCCTCTACTTGTGAGGAAACTTGAAGGTGATGGTTTGTTGAGCCTCAAAGGAGAAAAATGGGCTCATCATAGAAAGATCATTCAACCAACTTTCTACACAGAAAATCTCAAGGTAATTATATAATTCCACCAAATGCACGAGCAATCTAATATACTGTTCGTTCAGTACTATTCAATCTTCCCTACAAACATACCTACATTGATGTGTATTTTTGGTGTATAGTTAATGATGCCGATGATGGCAAAAAGCATAGAAGAGGCAGTCGAGAGGTGGTCTGACGAGATGTCGAATGTCGGCAAGGTGGAAGTTGAACTATCTGAATGGTTTCAGAACTTGGTTGAAGATGCCATTACACGAACAACTTTTGGAAGCAGCTATAAAGATGGAAGGGCAATTTTTGATTTGCAATCACAGCAAATGGTCCATGCCACTGAGGCCTATCAGAAAGTTTTCATCCCTGGATACAGGTATTTATGTACCAATTAATATTTAACGGTAAAAATACTAAACCACAGTAAAAAAAAGTTGAACCCCAACCTTAAGAGTCCCTTACCGCCCTGGAACATTCTGAGAGAGGTTAATCACGTTCAATAACAGTCTCAAGAAAAATACTTTTGCACTCTTAATCACATTTATTTGCATACATAAAGCTTAAGCTTTTAACTAATGTGTACAGCGTGACACTAGAGAGTGGCTGGAGAATTTATTTATGCGGCACCAAATGAAAACATGACTTATTTCTGTGTCAGAATAGTGTTCTCATATCTTATCGTCACGTCATCTACTTACAACAATTTTATATGTCAAACTTTTGATAAAAATATGAATACAGACTTTAACGTTGTCTCACATCTGTCGCTTTGGATAATTTGGAAAACTCTACAATTTCATTTACGATGTTATCGAGATCGTTAATTTTGAAACGGAAGAAAGTGGAGTGATGAATGAGAATCACCGCTAACTATGTTGAGCATTTTTGAAAACTCATATATTTTATTTTTGGGTTTGTCTATTTACGACTGGGACTGGCCACTTTGTACAATGTAGTTGTAACCACACACATAAAAAAGCAAACCAAATTAAGTTCTTAAAATAAGTAAACTAAAAGTTGCTTTCAACTTCTCTTCTCTAAGCCCATTTAGCCACAAAAAATAAATAATTAATTAATCTAGAAATTAACACAGTATTAATCAATTTAATTATTATTTTATCAGGTTCTTGCCGACTAAAAAGAACAGAATTTCTTGGAGATTGGATAAAGAAATTCGAAAATCCTTGATGAAGCTGATCGAGGAGAGGAGAAAAAATTCAACCAGTGAGACATTGTCAGAAGAATGTCCTAACGATTTATTGGAACTAATGATCAAAGCAAGTTTAAAACAGATACAAATTAATAACTCGAATATTTCTCCGTCAAGTTCTACACTCACAATAACCGTCCAAGACATAGTCGAGGAGTGCAAGACCATTTTCTTTGCCGGAAAACACACAACGTCGAACTTGCTGACTTGGATGACCGTCCTCTTGGCCATGCATCCTCAGTGGCAGGAACAGGCACGTGAGGAGGTCTTGAGGGTGTCTGGAGCACGTGACTCTCCAACTAAAGATGATCTTGCAAAGCTCAAAACGGTATGCTATAAAGTTAAAGTACATTTCAATTTATTACAGTCCCCAGTTATATAAATAATACTTAAAAATAAAAAATAAAAAAATAAAGAAAGTTTTGTATTCCATGTTACTCTATAGACAACCATACTTTTGCATGTGTAAGATGCAAAACAAGAAAAGGACATGTTTGTCTTTTAACTTCAAGTTTTTTGCAATTCTAGGTGAATATAATTCACTTATTTCATCTCAAAATTGTCAACAAATTTCAATTTTGATATTTATTTAGCGAGAAATTTGAAAGTTTGAAAATTAATTTAGATGTTCATTATACGTGACGAAAACAGTGATTTGTTTTTTAAATTCAAGTTTCTTCTATTCTAGGTGAGGTATAGTTTAATGGTTTCGTCTCAAAATAAATCAATAATATCCACCTTTGGATATATATTTGATGAATTTGAAATTTTGAAAATTAATTTATTCGTTAGTTGAATTTTGTGACAAAAACAATTATCTAAATATGCCTTTTAAATGATCTAGTGTTTGCTATTCTAGGTGAGATATATTTCAATGATTTCATTTCAAAGTTGTCTACACTATCCATGTTTGGATAAATATTCTGGTATGGAATTTCAAATTTTTTACACAGCGAAAGCAACGGTTTTATAGGTTGTTGTAGTCACATCCTTTATTAGTACACATTTATATACAATAAACTTTACATTCAAGAGATAATTAGTGCTTTTACTAATTCCTTTTGTATAAATTTCTTGAACCCCATTTGCAGCTGGGAATGATTTTGAATGAATCTCTAAGACTGTACCCACCAGCAGTGGCAATAATTAGACGGTCCAAGATCGATATACAATTAGGCGGGCTCCACATCCCGTCCGGGACCGAGCTTCTCATACCGATCCTAGCCGTTCATCACGACCCAGCATTGTGGTGCCACGATGTACATGAGTTCAACCCTGCTAGATTTGCCAAAGGCGTAGTCCATGCAGCCAAACATCCCTTGGCATTTATGCCGTTCGGCCTAGGCCCCCGCCGCTGCATCGGCCAAAATTTGGCCATTTTGCAAGCCAAATTAGCCATTTCCATGTTACTACAACGTTTCTCATTTGATCTTGCACCACATTACAAACATGCCCCTAGTGTTCTCATGTTGCTACATCCCCAAGATGGTGCACCAATTATATTCCGAAAATTGTAGGACTATATGGGATGTAGTAACCTTTAGGACCAAATGTTGTCATATGTTAGGACACTAGTACTAGCATGCTAACCCTCCACCAATGCCTAACCCAATAGAATTTTTCTCGGGATGGTGTTGTTTTCAATTTTCTTATAAGATGTTAGTCCGTTCTGTCGCATTCTATCTAACTTGACTTTTTGTCAGAGGCATCAACCTATTTTACCAAGTTTAGCTTGGATTTTTAAGTCTCTTTCTAATCAGTCGTGGTGGAAGAAATTTCTCCTTCCCCCTCTGCCTTTTGTCTTTGTACTATGTAAATTCTTGATCAATGGATGTACATTATGGTTGTGGCATTATTAGCATGAAAAAAAGTTGTCTTTGTGTACTCTTGAATTTCTTTGGTCCTCTATTGTTTTCCCTCACCCATATCGAAACATATAACTATGGAATAGTTATTTTGATCCAATCAATGGCTACTCAAAAGTTTCACAACATAGGTTGACAACCTCCGATATGTTTTGGAGGTCACACCCACTAAAGGAGCCACTAAACTTTTTCGGCCTCCATGCCATAATTGATGAGAGCCAAAAGTCCAAATTACTATTAAAAAGTTATCTTTTACCACCGCCTATAACCAATGTTTTCTAAGTTGATTGCCTTTACTTCCTCCTTGATTCTTATTAAAACTTATTTGCAATCTTTGTAAATCTTTCATCAATCATTATTCAACCACTAATCATTACCTATTTCCTTTAATCAAAATTGACACATTTAAAAGCCTTCTCCACATTTTCCTTTCAATTTTGATTTGTGTGTGAAGATATGGCCGGTTGATGTTGATACATGACTAGATGGTTTCACATCAAGAAACTATAATAAGAATTCTTGTGTAAATACAAGTGGATTATTGTGTTCGACCATAAAAATATTGATGGGACAACCAATAACCAATTGATTCCGACTGTCAATTTAATTGTACTTGTGAATTGGCTTTCACCGAAAGTGATCAAGAATGGAATCAAAGTAGTTTTTACATTTCATCCTTGACTTCCCTTTGGAGGAATGGCTTGAGGAATTATAGAGTGGAAAAAAACGCATGTCTTTCGTCAATCAGTTTTCATGTCAAGTGACATTTGACTTTGAAGGCTAGCATCACATTGAGCTGGAATGTGTCAACTTAATTGTCATTTCGATTAGTTCAAGTGTAAGAAGTACTGTTGGATTTTTTGTCATTTTAAACCTAGCTTGAACTCGTTTTGCGAGTTGCTCTCAGTTGATCATTATGTAGGATTGACAATGGGGTTCGGCTCATCTTACACACCCTGCGCTCATCTAGGGCTAACAAGCGAGTTGAACACGAGCAAGCTTGCCAGCCAGTTTTTGGGTTCGGCTTACTTGAGCACAAACAAGCTTGTTCACTCGACTAGCCCGTGAGCCTCTTAAATTATTTTTTTCTTGAAAAGGTGAATTTTTATTTTCTATTTATGCAGTTTCAAAATTGTGAAAGTCTAGATAGTTAAAATAATAGATTGGAGTATTTGAAATATTCAGTCTGAAAGAATTAAGGATCGAAAGAAATAATTGCAAAAAATAGAATTACATTGGTGGTATACATTGAAAGAATGTAGAGTAAAAACGTATAGAAGTTTGAAGAAATAATTTGTCAATTGGCTCATGAACCATTGCCATCACGATCATTGTGTATAATGACATTTTCTAATAGGAATAAGTTTCTCTTTGAAATTAGTCAACCATTGTAACTTTACCTAGAAAAAGATCGTTTGTTATTTGTCTTATCTCTATCTAGTCTCTCTTATTCTAGTCTATCCATCTTAAGGTATTTTGCTTAGTATTTTTTCTCACTTTCTTTGATCATATCCTTCACACAACTCATACATGTGTGAGCCTAGCGTTTCGTGTGGCATAATATTATCTAACATCATTCGTACTACAATATTACTCTAGGTAACGTTAGTGATAAACTTAATGAAATATAGAATTAAGTTATTCATTTAATTATATATCTCATTTAATATTCCATTAGTGCCACGTATACTAATACTTTAATATCAATGGTAATAAATAAAATTACTTTTATATTAGTTCAAGTTGGGTTTGTGACAATGATATGGTTATTATCCTCTGCCTAAAGTACCAACCTTTTGCTACTTCACTTGATGATGTGACTGATGTATAATGTCATTTCTTAGAACTTAATCGGATTTATATTAATTTTTACCAATTGTACAACTCATAATATTTTCATTTATGGCACTATTTGATTCATATTATAGACCACAAAAATCAGAATTCTTTGAAGATAAAAACACGTAAAATGGAAAAGTGTTAAATTTGCAATCATTTCACCCTCTCAAAATTAGGATCAAGCTAAAAAAAGAAGAGTTTACTTCATATTCTTTTCCCTGTTCCAACCTTATACCTCGTCAAAACAAAATGTTGATCGAAATAGTCATCAAGTAGATGGCAACATCAAGGGATGCAATTCAACCTAATCTACAAGCAAAAACTTCGGTACAAGCTGCATATGGTCCTCATAAATCTAATCAATTGAAGCGAAAGCACTTTGACTTGATTCTTATGAGATGTTCAATCATAAAATAAATTGAACTTTTGTATGAGAGAAATAATGGCATAAAATATTCAAATCCGGCATGATTTAGCTAAAAATAATAATTTTTTAATAAATTTTGATAAAATATTAATGACATGTAAAAGAGCCGTGCTTGATGGCCAAGGCCCAGTCCAAATATCTTTACCTTTGATAAAAGTTATGAATCCTGTTAAATGCATGATTGAAATGACTTTTACGAAAACGAGTTCAAAAAAAGTTGTCCAAATATGGACTTAATGCCTTCAAGTTGTGCTTTCCTTATAATATTCGCTCTTCTTATTATTTCAAACCCTTTGTCTTCCATAGTATTCCCCTTAAAGTAAGACTTATCAACATTTTGATAAGTAGAAAAGAGCGAGACTACAAGAATGAAAGAAGAAGAATCGAGCTATTCCCTTTTCTTCTCTTTCCCTCTCGATTGCTGAGTGACGACTCACAAGCATGATTCTTCTAGTGGCTAATAAAACAGGAATAGCAATTCGTAAAAGTATCGTGTCTACTATCGATCAATTGTGTCCATTTTGTATACAGATTACAAATATATTTAAGGAAAGTCCAGACCTAACTATTCCACCAGTTGTGGATAATATATTACATGTGATAAAAATATTAAGTATAATACAATAATTTTGGAGAAATTTCAGTGATTTATTTGATCTGATTGCAAGGGCAAGATTTCTGCTTTATTATGCCTGATAAGTGTATTTTCACACTTATCTGTGCTTATAATCTTGATAAATATTTGTAAATTAAATGAACTTCTACTTAATCTAGTGTAAATATTATTGATTTTAGGGAAAACTTGAACTTGAAGGTATATGGAATAAAAAGAAAAAATTTTGAGTCCAATTGTAGTTGTTTTGTAGCAACTTGAAGAGTAACCAAATTGCACGAGATTGACAAGAGGTGTTAAGAGAGCAACTGGAAAAAAGTCAAAATTTTAAGGAGTGAAATTCAACGTAAAGAAAATTTGGAGAGTAATTTTCACACTTTCAAAACGTGAGGAGGACTAATTTGGATGCTTATCTGTTCAGGGAGCAACTTGGAAACTTTTGAAAGTTGCAGGATCAACCCTAGTGGAAAATCCATCTCCCTTTGATTGCTTAGTTACTTTCATTTTTTTGTGGTTAATATTAGATTAATCAAAACATTGCCAGCGAACTTTGCTTTATTCAAGTAGGAGTTAGAAATAGTTATATTAATTATTGAACATATAGAACTTGTGGAAACGATAATTCGAACTCTTACGTCCACTTTAGAAGTAATATTTGATATCAATTTGTTAAAGGATTTGATAGCATAGAAATTTAAGAGAAGAAAAACTGTACTCAAATTATACTCTCACAACTCAACTTCTATGATTCAAATTTTTTGTAATGATGAAATACTATAAATGAGTAATTTTTTATATTACATTTGATACAAAAAAATTAATTGTTAATACATAAATTTAAATACCCGAATATGAATAAATTTATTTATAATAACTCTAGATTTATGTAATTCAAAATTCATTTAGTGAAAATTCATTGAATCTAGGTTAACGTGAAAGTGATTAATTGAGAATTTATAACACAAATTTTATAAATGACAATAATTATATAGTATTTATTACGTATTGAAAAATGAAAAGTAGAGTATTATTGAAATAATTGAATTATATGAGGGTTAAAATCATCCAAAAAATAATTGACTCGTAGCTAGTTTCGTTCATGTATTCTTGACAACCGATAATTCCATTGTAATTAATTTTCTTTTTCAAGACAAATTAAATATATCCTAATCACGACCCGAATCTATTCCTAGTCCTAATTCGAATAAATAGAACGCATTCAATTTCACAATTACCTCAAAAATTGCACATATGATAAATCTTATTCCTAAAACGTATTATACGTATATTACTCAAGCAATATTCTAGACTTATTGTAAGCCTCCCAACACTACAACAAACAACCATATATTTAATTGGTGATCAGACAATTAAGTAATAAAATTATGAATGCAAGATTAATCAAGAATTGCAAGAATTTAATTAAACCACTGTCTTGAATTAAAAATAAATAATAACGGGTTTCATCTTCATCCAATACATGATAAAAATTAACCTAGCATAATGTTGGATTTAAGCACATAAAAGTGGAAGGATATCACCAAAAATTGATGGAACGTGATTAATTCCCCAATTAAAGTTGCCTTCTTCTGTCCTTTTTCTTTCAATTTTCACCCTTCTGCGTGTATTATTCTTCCCAATTTTTTTGGCTGCCAGTCCGCCTTTTTGCGTGTGCTGGGTGTGTGTATATAAATTCAGCACAAACCCCAATGTTTTCCTCAAAATTCGAGCCCCTTTTTGTAACTATAGCGGTACCTTTTCTCTTTTTAGTACCCGCTCAATTCCTATGCGTGTTCTCCTCTTTTTTTGTCTCTAAAATAATTATCCGGTAGCCGTTTAATTCGACTCCAAAGAACTCCAATTCCGCCCCGTTGGCAGCCGACAACCCGTGTTTTTGTGTCTCCAGTACAAGGCCCAATTATCCCTTTTTGATCCGTACCGGTGTGTGTAATGTCTCCAATTTGAAGTGAAATCCAATTGCTTTTTTTTTTTTTTGGGAACAATACATAACCTAGGCTATTAACATACACCATTTCATTTTTAAGAATCAAGGTTTAAATATACATAAATCAGTTCATAAATCATACAATATATATATATACACACAAA